ATTTCTCTTCCTGGTTTCCAGAGAAGTGGTTGAGGTTAGAAACATTCATAGAATCTCCTAATTGCACAGAACCTCCAGGAAAAAAAGTTACAATCCTCACATCCGCATTTTAATGGTACAGGTAAGTAAAATGAGAGCTGAGACAACAGGGAGGAGAGCACCTGTGTTTGGTCACAGCTACAAGAGCTTCCTGAGCCCTGGGGAACACCTGCACTTCAAAAGCTTATGGGAAGGGTGTGACAGCTGGAAATTGAGGAGAGACCCTCAAAAGGAGGCATTTTCCCAGCTGAAACTGAGGAAAGGCCACTGTTTCATATGCAGGGTTAAAAGAGCCTGGAGGAAGGCTAGGAGAGGGGGTTAGAGGTTGGGATTCATCTACCCTCACTTGGATGCCTTAGTTTTAGGTGCTTAAATCTGAGGACTCCTCTCGCCAGGTGGTTCACCTCATCCTGACATTGGCTCTAGGGCAGATCTGGTGACTCTCAGTCAGGAGGGTCCTACTGTCCCCTTGGCCCATGGGGAAAACCCCGGGGGGACAGCCCAGCTTGCCACGCTGCACGTCACCTCTCTCAGAGCACGGGAGCTCAGTCCCACCCACTGTGCTCCGAGACCCTGCCAGATCTGTCAGTGGGAACCGAGCCAAATACTGTAAATAAAACTACAGTTAAACCCAAGCACCTGTGCCCACCTGGCCAATCCTTCTCAAAAAAACAAGTCTAAGCATTATGATTTTTGCTACCGCATATAACAAGTTTATATTTATTGTAAGAATGTGTATGCATCTGTGTACACACATGTATGTGTACAAGATAAAGAACAGGTTTTCCCTGGTGCACAGTTTAACTAGTGCAGTTGAACAAGCCCTTGCTGTCAGGCTCTTTGTTTGATGGTCATGGAGCAGGGGTGCTGGTCTGCCTCACTCAGACCAGCTGGAGAACCGGTTCACAGAGCATTGGCTTCCCAGTGGAAAGCAGCAAGGTAAATAGTAACTATCAAAAGGAACGGACCATTCCAGTTTTGCTCCAGTTCGGACCTGCAAGCGTCACATTAAACTGGGGAAGAGAAATCCAGGACTTCTGGTAAAAAAACAGGTTTACATTTCAGATTGCAATGAAATGACTTGGACCTAAGCGTGGTGCTCTGTAGGTGACTGCATTTCCATCACTGGCCTGATGAGATGCAACCGATTTATTCAAGGGGATGGTTTGTCTCATGCTGCAAGGGCAAGCTTGCCCCTTGTGTATGTTGGATGACACACATCTGCTGAAAGACACCTAAATGAGTCAAAACAAGTAGGTACCAACAAACGCAACCCAGGCTTCCACATTTAAGGATGGAGTGCTGAGTCAAGGTGTGAGTTACCTTATATGAGCTTTAAGGTCTTTGAAACACAGTCAGACCTCCACAGGATCTTCTCCCAAGGGAACACCAGCAACACTTGTCTTTTTGGTACCAGTCACCCATACTAGCGTTATTCTCTAAGCTTGCCTGAAACCAGAGGGACATTCAGCACCACATACGGAGTGTGTTTATCAGTTTCATCCAGCTCTTGCAACTCAGGGTGTGCTGCGGGGTCACTCTGGGTCCTCCTGTGACTTCATGGGTGCCACTCAGTCTCCACCTGCATCTCCTCCTTAAGCGATTGCCCCTTGAAGAGCACCATCCCACCCTCAAGAGAACCTGTGGTTGTGTCTCCTCCCTGAGATGGCTTTGGGTGGCTATTCTCTGTTGTGGTAGGAAAGGGGTCCAGGGAGACAACGGGGAAAATGGAGATGGGGTGGATTACTGGGAATGTGGGGCAGAAGGACATGGGGCAATAAGGAGGCGTAACTTTGCCCCTGTGATATTATGTGCTGCATGATGGATGGCGTTGGTGCATCACAATTTTGTGAGCTAAACCCCGTGCTGCCCAGCTCTGGGGCTCCTGCCCACCTGAGCACAGCTCTCACTGACACAGCACAGCAAGGACCCACAGGGCCATATGTCTGGCACTCGCTTGGCATAAAAAGCGAAACCCAGCCCATGCAGGACCGCAGCACGCAAACGCAAGAAGAGCATGCAATCCCCTTTTGGCAGAAATGAAGGCCAGCTTTGAGAGAGTAGCACGTCAACTGCAAAAAGCCAAATGAATAAAACATCCCTGCAAATACTGCAAACAGCTTTAGAAAGAGTCATTCAGTCTGGACCGCCTTTTGCACCCAGAGCTGCCAATGGGAGTTTTGTCTGAGCACAGGGAAGGGAACCAGGCATCTGAAAGACTGGGATGGGTGGGATTTGCTCAGACCCAGGCAGCTATTTCATAGACAGCAACACAGTACAGCAATTCAGGCTCCAGCACCCTCCTAGAAGGAAGGTGAGTGTCTCAATAGTCTCTATCACCCTAAAAGGAATATGATGTCTAGCGCTGCATGCTTCTTACCCTGTTTAGCGTTTTTTCTAAAAGCAGTTTTAAATAAAGGGCCAGACAGAAACCTATTCTTTCATCTCAGACATGGCAACAGGACATTTTTAGGTAGAAAAGGTCAGCTGCTCTGAATAGCTCATTGCACAGGAACTGCCCAGGATGGAGCTCAACCATGCAATTTAGCATCCCCTATGTCTCATGTCTTTGACATGGATATGAGGAAATAACAAGTTTCACCGTTACTCTACCCAGCTCTGCCTCAGATAACCATGAATAGGCTCAGATAAAGACAGATAACAAATGGTAGGATTTCCTTTTCAAGCAGAGGTCCTTAGAAATCAAGGCAACTGAAGCAAATGCACATCATCCGACACTGGAAATTAATATTACATCTCAGAGGACTTTTCAGACTGAGGGATACCCAAGACTTAGTGATAATATTCACCCCTTTCTGCATGCCTTTTACACCCAGAATGGGTGGAAATACAGTGGGAATGTATAATCATCCAGGATAAATCATCATTAGGCCCATTTTCAGGGTTCTATTATGTGGAAAGGGAGAGCATGAGATGAGAGGTTTTAATGAGTCGTAGGAGCGTGTATCCCCTTGTGACTATACAATCTGTTTCTCTGAAGGGCCAACAGATGCTGAAGAATATAAGTGAATAAACGAAGAGCTAGCGTAGAGGTATTTGGGGGGAGTGGTGTGTCCACATTGGACTCCTTCCTTGTGCAGCTGGACATTTCATACACAGGAAGCCCAACCTGTGGATTTGTGTCAGTCCAGAGTGAACTTCAGAAGGCTGCCAAAGAGCCCATTCCCTGTGACAAAGGAGGGACCTTGAGGAGGGGTGGTGGTGGCACGTGCGTTCCCCAGGGGTGGCTGGGCCGGGTAGCACAAAAGTAGCACAAAGGCTTTCACTGTGCCCTGAGCTCCCCTTTGCTGCACTGGGCATTTCAGGGCTCTGCTTCCAAGTGGGCTACCATGTATTTAGCTCTATTAAAAATGAGGGAAGGCTTTTGGTCCAGCAGGACGTGCCTGGCATAGAGCAGAGCCCCAGCATCTTCCAAGCACGGGGCAGGTTTCTGAGCTGGTCTCCTCCTCGTCTGGGGACGAATGACCACAGCATGGGTGGTGCTGGAGGACCAGGCTTCAGGACAGATCCAGTCTGAAGTCACAGAGTCCATGGTACACCTCCTCCATGTCACATGTCCCACACCTCCCTGGGAGGTCCAGAGCAGAAAAGGTAACCACCTCCATGTTTAAAGTCCAGAAGAACTTGCACAGCTCCATGGAAAAGATCAGGAGACACTGTGAGCATCCTTAGCATCCCTGGCTATGCAAGAGCAGGGATTTATCATCTCAACCTAACTGGGAGTCCCAAGAAACACGGGAAGGCAGGAGACCAGGTGACACTGTTTGTGGCCATGGCATGAAACCTTTGCTCCCAGCTGGGAGACCTTGGCAGCTGTTGCCACAAAGTCATGCCTAGGAAATAAGGTCATGTGTCCCCCAATGGGGAGGGAGCTGGAGAAGGAAAAGGGCGGCATTTTCGTGCAGGGAGGAGGAGGAGGGGAGGCTCACCTGGCTCTGACAGGAGGAAGGCAAGGAAAGATGGTCAGGGCTTTCCTGCTCTGCACCGTGCTGGCTACTGTCCGTCCTTGCATTTGCTTCCACCCAGCATCTTGGCCCAGGAGGCAAGGAATGGTAAAACCCCGTAGAAAAGGAAGGCTGATGGTGTTTGATCGTCTAATCTCTGTTTTGCAGGCTCTAATCTGCCCATTTAGCGGCAGCATGTAAAGAGCACCTGGATGATTCACCATCTAAGTGCTGCTCTGGTGGGGCCAGTTTGCTTCAGCTGTTTTAACATTTGTTTACATCTGTGCTAGGGTAGCCTTGAATAAGTGCGAACCTCCCACGGACACTAATTCATATCGGTTCTCCTTTGTGTTAAATATTTATGTTCTTAATAGGCACGCCTAAGAAAAATACTGGCAAGTAAGCCTGCAGCTCAACTCCATTACAACTCAATTTTATCTCAGTGCAATTTGCATCTCAAATGAACAGGATGAGAAAACACTCTGTACTTATAGAGGAAAACAGCCCAGCAATTCAGCCATTCAGATCTATCGACTGGAGGACAAGAAGACCTATCCATGAGAACTTCCAATGACTTTGTGTCAGTGCCTGGACCCATAAACACGCTGCAAAGGCAGGTGAGCTTTAAGCAAATCCCCATGGCAGCAAAGCATAAAACAAACCAGGCCAAAACAAAATGCTGTTAATTGCTTGTTGCATGAAATCAAAGCCAGTCTGTGCAGAAAGCTAAACAAAAAGCCTGTGTCCTCGGAGCTGATATGTAGCCTGGACAGGTTCTCAGTGAGCTGAGATAGCTGCTTGCTCCAACCCCAAACAGTGCAAATCAGGATGGGCTCATTGCTTTCAGTAAAGACATCCTGTCTTACAGCAGGTGAGAAATTTTTTAAAAAAATTGGGGTTTTTTTGTTCGTTTCTTACTATCCCACAGAACAAAAGTCATTAAACAGTTCTGGTCTTTAGAAATAAAACTAAGAGGGGTGCAGGGAAGTTGCCTACCTTGCTGGAAAGCGTGCGGTGTCCTTGCCAGTCTCCCTTCTCTGCCCAACCCAGCGCCTTCTCTCCTCTTTGGTGAGCTAGTTTCAAGGCACTTTTGTTTGCTGTTCTCCTACCTTGTCAGCTCGGGAACAGCAGTGTTCGGTAATTCAATCCTCTACTTAACCGCAGAGACACTCCTACTCGGAGATCACACCCATTCCCAAGCTCACGGAGGGACAAAGAGGGAGCCAGTATGAGAGAGTTTCAACCAACTTACTGTTTGCGTCAAATATCCACCAGCCCTGCATTCACGGAGCAATGATGATTAAGTGCTGCTTTAATTAGAAACCTGTTTTGTCCAGATTTAAAAGGGCAGGGGAGGTTCCTTCCCCCCCCCCCCTCTGTCTGTGCTGGACAAAGCGAGGTGCGGTGCTGCTCAGCGCCACATTAATGCTTGGGTCCCAAGAGTCCCAGCTCCGGTCCCTGACTCTGACTGTCCCAAAATTTGGCAGACCCAGTCCGAGGGGAGAGGTGTTCTCGGCAGACAGCCTGCTCCCGCGGTCCCTGCGAGGCCGAGCTGCGTCTCGCTGTGCTGGCAGGCTGGAGCCCTGGGTGTGTTGCAGCCCAGGGTGATGGGGAGCAGGGGTGAGGATTGCTGTCGGGATTACCGGCTGAAATGGGAATGTAATGGAGCATTGGAATGTGCTGCCCTCCCAGGAGAAATGTAATGATAAACCAGAAAACCCCAGAGAAGCTGGCAGTATTTGCAGTCGCCACCCTCTGCAGCGGAAACTTGCGTCTGTGGATACTCGTAGTGATATCATAGCTTATCGTTAAGGAAAAAGTATCTGCAAAGGGCAGCTGTAATATGCAGCTACCCCCTCTGAAAGCTGCCCTGATGCTACTGGCTGTGGGGGACCTGAAAACAACCCATCTCCTCTCCTCTCTGAAAGCTGCCCTGATGCTACCGGCTGTGGGTGACCTGAAAACAAACCGTCTCCTCTCAGTCCCAGCTGCTCCTGCCTGGTATCTGCATGGTGCTGCTTGCTGCCAGTGGAGGGAACATCCCTCGCTGGAGAGGGATGGAGGTACCACTTCTTACCCCACCATCACTGGGCAGCTCTGCCTTTGGGGGAACCCAGGACTGCATCCAGCTGGTTTTGGGTATCTTCAAGATGGAGACTACATGACCTCTCTGGACTGGGAACCATCCAAGTCCTTCCTGTCCAACACATCAAGCTTCCCTTGCCATGTCCTTAATTTTTTAGATTAACCCACATGAACTGAAAGTAGATATGGATCAGCTCATCAGCTAAACCATGTATCAGAATAGGTTTAAACCAACACAGTTTCCACAGATCTAGTCCACTGACCCCAAAGGACATCCAATGGGAAGATCACCCAAAATATCCATGACATTAACTACAGACTGGTGTACCACTAATCACAGCTGCAAATCAGGGCATGGGTTGAACCTGCACATTCAGCCTGCATGTGCTCATATCTGAGAGGAACACTGCAGAGATCTTAGTTTCATGGTTGAAGATGCAAAAAAGACTCTTAGCAAGCAATTTATCCCTTAATGACAGCAGGCTACAGCTCATAAAACCCATAACAGCCTTTGCCTTTCATTTTTTGTTCTTTTCATTTCATCATGATGTCTTCCTCTACTGTAAGGAGCTGAGAAACCATGTTTTGGGTCTTCCTCTAGTCCACAGGAGATGGGGACCTGCAGCACAGTCTGCTTGTATCATTGGAGTCAACCCCAAGCCCACTGCTGGCCCAGCGGTGAGGATCATACACCAGCAGCTCTGGTGGGAGGCATTAGAAGCTGAGGCGAGGACATCTGGAGACCACAGAGGATTGGCACCAAACTCCATTGTGCCCTGGCTCCCGTTTTGCCATGTGAAGTCCTTATCCCCAGAACCACGGGTTTAATTAATAGCTGCTATGTGTCTGGGTCCTTTTCAGTGCTGATACATGCTGATGTAAACCAACCTGTTTCCGTGGCTGCGGCTACATGAATTTGAGCTCTGGGATGAAGCATGTCATTCCTATACACACAACTTTGGTAATGCACAACAGGCTCATGCACAGGAGATGTTTGTGAAAAAGTAGTAAATAATCCTGGTGAGCTTTAAGGAGCCCAAATCTGTAGAAATATATGTAAAGCGGTTTAGAACAGTCAATGCCGAAGTAAAAGAAAATGTTTGTCATAAAACATGGGCTCATTTAGTGCTGAGCTGTAGGCACTTTTGCTTCCTGCTAATTCTGATCATGCCATGGGGTTATAGAGCAGAAAACATTATTTCCGAGCAGTTTAACTCAGTACTGGTGCAAAACAGAATTGCCTGACTTTCATAACTGAAATATGATCTGTGAAGTTCTTGTTCCAGTTATTTTTCCCATGTGCACAACCTGATGCACTCATATTCTGGTCCTAAGCTTTGACTCAGTATTCCCAGAGCTCAAAGACCTTGTGGTTTAAATTGTTTTTCATGCAAACAGATGGCAGATGAGGCTGTTTGCAGTGTCCCGATGCAAGCCTAAGACACTGAAGACATTGTCAAAGATTGATGCTGGGGTAAATCAAAAGCTGCTGGGAGGAAGACTCTGCTGAAGTGCAAAATCAAGGTTTGGCAGTGTAATGGCCCACATCTGCCTCAGCCTTGACCATCCCACATGCCTGTGGACAAGGTTAACATTGTACATGGGGAAACAGGCTCTGCCAAGGATGTATTTGCAAAATGACACGTTGCAAAGGTATTTCCACCCTGCTTTTGGATATGCAGCTCCAGGAGGAAGAGGGAAGGGCCAAACCCTGCAGATGAGATAACATGGCAGGGGCCTCACGCTTTGAAAAGCAAGGGAAGGAGGCAAAAACCTCCACAAGCTGCTCAAGAGACCAGTGCAGAGATCCATCGCTACTTATGTGAAGCTAAATATCCTGACTTGTAGCAGCCAAAGCATTGCAAGAATTTCTGAGAACATTACAGGAGAGCTTTCCTTGACCCACAACCAAAGCATGTGACATTTTACTACACATTCCTCATGTAGCCTCGCTCAGGCACTTATCTGCCCTACAGAATCATCATACCCAAATGAAAAACTACATAGTGCCTCTTATAGGCAGATCCCTATGGATCTGATAGAGGAGGATGGGGTTATAATTTACTGCTCCCCCATCTGCTGTGCTCCTGGGTATGGGGGAAAAAAGATGAGAAAGCAGTACATACACGTGTATATTGACCATAAGACATGCGAGGACCTCGCTCGTTGGGGCTTATAACTTGCTGAAGCAAAAGACCCCCCGAGAAATACATCTCAGCCAGCCATGGCACCTAAGCCTTCAGCAAGGCAGGGATGACTGGCATGCCTGAGCACCAGCCTCAGGGTTTGGCCCAGCTGCCTACAAGGGGAGTTTTGATGCAGAAAAGTGAACACAGCTTTGCTCTTTGGCCTGGCGGGCTCAGACCGGCAGAGATCAGGGCTTCACGTGGCTTCACTGCCCTTCATAGGGCAGTGCTCTGCAAGCACCAGCTGACCAGGCAGCACAGAGCTGCCTCTGACGGGTAATGGTGTGCAGGTTAATGGTTAACAGCAGCAAATGGAAATGTCTTGGGACAGGGGAAGGTGCCCGGGCACCAGGGTGAGGAGTGCTCCTGCGCTGCAGTGCCACCGTGCAAGGCTGTGCTGCGCAAATGGAGACACGATTGTCTGGAGCTACAGGGAGTCGTTGCATCCTCCTCTGGTAGGCTCATGTCAGTCGATGGCTCTCAGCACACAGAGATGCTGTAAACGAGCCCTTTCAGCACAGCTCTTGGGCAACGCTGTGCACGGAGCTGTGCGAACGGTGGATCTTGAAAGGCAGGGGCAGGGTGGGCCAAATCCTCTTCTCCCAGTTCCGAAGAAAGGAGTGGCCTTGGCAAGCCAAGGCACAAGGGTAAATGCTGATTTCAGGCAGGAATATCTTTGGTGAGAGCTCTAGAGATGCAGTTTGTCTCCCTGGAGCCAACAGCTTGCAGCAGGTTAAGACAGGAGCAGTTTCTCTGGTACAGGAGTTACAACATTGAGGCAGAAGAAACCTGTACCTGCTGCTCCAATTTATTACTTGGCAATTTTAGTGCAAAACCCATTTTAAGCCAGCTATGCTGGGCTGTGAACTGGGGATATGAGGCTCGTGTTTCCTCAGGCTTATGGGAAAATGTACCCTCCCCTGCAAAAGAAAAGGAGAGAGGGGGTCGGAGATGATGATGTCTTGTAGCATCACAGCAAGGTCTGCCAGGGCTTCTGGTCAGTCTTGAACCCCTCTTCTATGTCCTAAAATGCCTATAACCCATCCTTGAAGGTGGGAGGCACAACTCTCTGCTAGCAAGGAGAAATACCTCTGTGAATATAACTGCACTGACTATAGTGATGGGATATAACAACACTGATGGAAATGGCCATACCATGCCAGACCTCCCTTGGTCTTTCTGCATGAGTTCTGGCTGCTACTAAAAGCTTTGCAGAGTGACATACTGCAGCGTATTTTCTTTTCCAAAATTACATTTAGGGGAATGCCAAGGAAAATCCTCAGGGAGGCTGTTTCTTCCAGCCTCCTTCTGGTGAACGACTCCTGCCTTGGAGCAAAAGAGCTACCATCACCTGTGGGGAGGTTAATCTGCAACTGGCCCTGGCACGGTGTCGGCGGGGAGGTGGTAATCTCCAGGGGCGGCTGGCTGTGCCTGTGTGCACTGTGGGCGTGGGTTCCTCTGCATGCCTCTCCGTTTGCTCTTGCACCCCACCGCCAAGAATTAGCAGGTGCAGTGAGAAAACAGGATAGCCGAGGTAGGACCGTGACGTGGCATGGGCAAACACCAGTCCTGGCTGCCGTCCAGACAGAGGAGGAATGCGGCACAGGGGCCCCAGTTCGTATCCGGATGTATAGAGATTGTTCTTTTATCTGGGGAGACTTCTAGAAGGACCCAAGTCCCCCAGATCCATCACCCCAAGATCGCTGTCAAACTCCACTCTTAACGCTGATGCCAGAGTTTGGGCAGCTGATGT